ATTTTGGGAAATTGGGTCAATTCTTCTGGAATTTTGTTTAAGGAGAAAACAGGGAAAAATAGTTCTGACAATGTCGTAATTTCTGGGTTTGACTTTTTGTGGAATGAAAGGTTTAAACTTTTGTTTTGAAATTACTTTGTTTAGATTTTTTTTTTATTTTGCATTTTATTATATAATAGTCAAAAATCTATAAAAGTCAAAATGGAAGGGAAACATTTCCATCTGTCAAAATGAAATATTTTGATTGACCTGAAACTATTTTCCCCTGGAATTTTCCATAACAGAGAATTTTCAGTTTTTGTTTCTGTTTGGAATGAAGCTAAATTTAGAGATCTCAAAATTCTTCACAAAGTGGAACTTCCATCCTCCCACAGCTCTACTCAGAACTCCCAGTATTAAGACCCAGACCTTGATTTACCTCCCTGCATATAGCTACATCAGTTCTTCCACATTTCCTCTCCTAATCACTTATGTAATATTTGTGAAGGCTGTCATATCAAGCCTACTTGATCTACAGGGGTAACTCCAGTAGCTGGCAGCAATAGTGGGCTGTTATATGTTCTATGTGGATTAGCCACTAGAGGAAGACACAACATACACTTTATATGTTTACATTAATGTTACTGATTTTGTGATCTTATGTATTTAAATTGTTATTTACTCTGTCAAAAATGTAACCATTAAATGTCGGACTGAAAACATTCAGGAGACGCTGCTTAATTAATACTTCAGATTTTTCCCGGTTCCATTTTTAACTGGGTATCTTTCCAAATGTGTGATTAATGCTTAGCAAATTCCAAGTGGCACTCTGAAGGTTGGCAATAAGAGTGGAGTTTTATGTACATGAATAAGCTCCTTGTGCTCTGTTTCCCGTCGGGTTCCCATTCTGTAAAACTGAATATCATCCAAGGCTGGATGTTTTAGAGACAGTGGGCTGAGGGCAAGTCAGCTCTGTAACGATTAGAAGGGAATGTTAAGAACTGACCTCGGTATCACTTCTGTAACAGTGAAAGAAAAGTAGGCTGTACCGATGAAAAATAAAACCACGAGATGCAGCCTGTAGCAGACATGAAATAACAGAAGTGTCTACCAGAATGTTAAGTAGAATTTCCTTGCCAAATTCCTGTGTGGTGATTACATGCTCTGTCCCTGCATATAGTTATGTCAATACTTTCGCATTTCCTCTCCTACTCAGTGGTGTCATATTCTCCTGTTAAACACCCGTTGCCTTTCACCATAGAGGTGTCCGCATTTCAGAGGCAGGTGGCATGATTCCTGTATGTACAGGAGGGGGGGAGGGATAGCTCAGTGGTTTGAGCATTGGCCTGCTAAACCCAGGGTTGTGAGTTCAATCCTTGAGGGGGCCACTTAGGGATCTGGGGCAAAATCAGTACTTAGTCCTGCTAGTGAAGGCAGGGGGCTGGACTCGATGACCTTTCAAGGTCCCTTCCAGTTCTAGGAGATGGGATATCTCCATTTATTTATTTATTTACATAGGATTGATTTATCCATACCCAGACCGTTTGTTTTCTCTCGCCTCTCTCAACAGATTTGCTTCTCCTTGCTTGTCTCTCTGCTGCCCGTTGGCGGTGGCTTTCTCCTCCCTTCAACGCTTTCCTTAAACCAATGGGACTCGCATGCACATATCAGAGGGCAGAATCTGGCCTGTTGTCCTTATGGAGCCTTTCCTATGTCCCCTCTCCTTGCCTCCTCTCTGGTGCAGTACAACTGCCTGATATATCCGGATTCATTTGCATGACATCTAAATAGCTCCTTTCCTCCTACATCTATACTACAGTCCCCATGGTTGATGTATGTTTAAGTCTTTGACTCAGTTGCACTGTTGGCCTTGCCCATAGCAGGTTTGTCTCTCTTTGGGATTCCTGGATTCAAATATGTGATGATAAACACCTTGCTGCTAACCAAGGAAATGATTCCCAGGTGAGCTCTCAACCAGTAAAGAAAAGGGCCATTCAAAGTGACATTTGATGCCACTGTTCTAGAATAGAGGATAGTATGTTACTCAGTAGGTGAAGTGGTTTTTGAGGTTACACTTCTGTGGAGGAAATTGGTTAGAAACATTTGCCCTATCTCTGTTTCAGCACAGTTCCAGTGGTTATTAAAACAAGGTATTTAATAACTGAATAAACCAATGATACTGAAATAGCTTTCACATGATACACACGTCACGGTTCCTTTCCTAGAGAAACAGTAAACGGTATCTTAGCGCTCACTGAATAGTCGCTTTCAGTTGTCAGTGGAGCTCATTGATGCAAAGCTGGCATTTGGACAACCGATTTTCCTAGAGAATTCAGTAAGTCTTAGATCTGACTAAAATGTAAGGGCCTGATCCGAAACCCAGTAATGTCAATGGAAAAACTCACATTGGTTTTAATAAGCTTTAGATCAGGCCCTTAGTTAAGGAATTGTGTGGGAATCTGATGCAAAGCCAGCTGAGAATGTGGGTCTTTCCATTGACTTCCAGGAGCTTTGGATCAACTCAAATATGCTTTCTGCGGCCATTACGCCCATGGAGCAGCTGCAGGATTGGGCCCTGAATGCAGGACCACCCAGAGGGTTCAGGGGGCCTGGGGCAAAGCGGGGGAGCGGACATAAAAAAGGCGCCACCCGCTGCGGCGCTTGTACTCATCGGGCGGCGCTCCGAGTCTGCGGCGGCGGTGGGTCCTTCACTCTCTCCACGTCTTCGGCAGCACTGAAGGACTCGCCGCCAAAGTGCCACCGAAGACCCGGACCGCCGCCGGGTGAGTAGGGATTCTCGGCCAGGGCTCGCGGGGCCCCTGCAGGGCCCAGGGCAAATTGCCCCACTTGCTCCCCCCTCCGAGGGGCCCTGCCTGAATGTGAAATTCACCCCTGTGCAGAGAACACACACAAGATTTATGTGCCACTTAAGATCTAAGTACTTAAGCAGGTACCTAACTTTAAGCACACAAGTGGGCCCATTGAAATCAATGGATTGCTCACATGCTTGAAGTTAGTCACATGCTCAAATACCAGGCTGAATTAGGGCCTATGGGCCAGATTTTTAAAGCTGTTTTGGTGCCTAAGGATGCAGGTAGGAACCTAACTCATTGATTCAATGGGAGTTAGGCGCATTGCGCCTAGCCGATGCAGCCTCTAGCATGCTAGCTGATTGCTCCTAAATCCATATTCAGGCATCTAAGTTGCCTAATTTTCAGAGATGCTGGGCACCCAGGACTAATTTAGCCCAGTATATTTAAATTTCCTTTTTCCAAATACTTGTTTGTCCCACTCAATACCTGAAAGGAAAAGAAAAATGAGAGAGAGGAAAAGAGTGAGCAGAAAATATGTGTTGTCAGTGATGTTCTCCTCCAGACAGAGATTGGAGTTTCATATGCTGCTTGCTTGATCTTTTCCCCCCCTGCCTTTCATTTTTTGCCATTCATGCTAATGAACCTTGCAGTCCCAGGGCATCTCTTCATCTCAGTTTTCCAAAGGGCTTGTCTGACATCTACTCTGCGGCCTTAAAAGTGTAAAATTGATCTTTCCTCTTTGTGGATCCCTTAGTGAGCCACTTGACTGTACTGGGCCAGATCCTCAGATGGTGGGAACTGGCAGAGCTGGAGCGAGGCCTTTATGCCTAAAACAAACCCAACAGCTGCCTGCCTGACAATATGTTTCACCAAAAGAAAACATTTACTTAGAACCCAGAGCTCTGATGAGCTCCCATAACGTCTAATAAATAAACGAAAGCATCCTGTGTGCCCAGGAATGTATAGCAATAATCGTACCACAGTAAGACCATACCGATAATAATACAGCCAGAAAGTCCCCAAAGTGCTTTACAGACTGCAGCAAATAGATGGCTCAGCCACGGCTGAAATGCATCCACCTCTGGGGAGGAAGACAGCACCCAGCCTATGCCAAACACGCTAAACAATCATTCATAGGGAGGGAAGGGAACTATTATAAGAAGCTAGGCAGAATGTATGTACCAAGGTTTGAATTTGGCCAAGATATCAGGACCAACACTCTGCTTAGCTTGGTAAAAAGCTTTCTGAGCTCTTCAATGGGGCAGGAGCTCATCTATCCACATTTTTAATCGGAGCAAGGACACCTCCAACAGCATATGCTCCTTAACGCCGTGCTGGGGCACTGGCTCAGGGCTGACTCACAAGGAAGAATATCACCTATGGAATCGCCAGCATCGCTTCTGGTAGCAGCAGGCACTTCCCACCCAGGCACTGGAAGCTTGCCCATGTTGGTGAAATCGCGAGACTGCAGGCTGAAAGAGTAGGGCTGCTCCTATCTGTCAATTTTGGAAGCTGTGAGTGCCCCAGAGGCTGAGAGGTGAGTCAGGTTTTTGATCTCTTGCTGCACAATGCTGAAGTGACTTCAGATGAGGAAGTACTGCCCCTGCCTGACATTACTGTCTATCCATGGTAGTTCTAAAGCACGGCTCACCATGGGATCTATGCCCTGGAGAACAATGAAAGGGCCTGATCCTTCGAGGTTCTGAATGGGAGGCGTTTCACTGCCTCACTTCCCACTGATCTCCTGCAGCGCTCCCAGTGGGTGTTCACCACTTTGCAAAATGAGGGTCAGTGACAGCACTGAGGGTGCCCCAAAGGGCCAGACCTTTCCAGTCTCTCCACCCTGTTCCAAAGCACGTGTTGATTTTCATTCACCTAATTTCTCCTCCTCCTCCTGTTTCCTCTCTCTTTTTATCCTTCCTCCCCAGTGCGACGTCAAAGCAATAGACAAACCTGATGGGCTGATGTTGGGTCATGACAACTGGAAGCAATCTCACTGGGGCTGGTCTTTCCTGCCCCATTCAAGCTGTCAGTCCCGGGTCGCCACAGTCATCCCATAAGTGCGTTTTGTATTTGTGGGGGGCCCACCCAGAGAGAAGAATGGATCAGTCAGGTCACTGGCTGAGCATTGCTATCGTTTCACTGAGGGCCCAAGTTCATTTCTGAAAATTTTCTGGAATGCTTGCTGGAAATCTTTGACTATAGGGAATCAGTACTGGATTTATCTGGGTCCCTCAGCATTAACACAATACAGACACTTTAAACAAAGACACGCCACTGTGTTAGGTTTGAACAGAGTTTCCTCTAGCAACGGCTACAATATGTACAACCAAAGAAGTCTGCGTTTCAGTCATTTTCTTCAGATTTCTTTCCCATTTGCTGGCCACAATGTCACCATTGATTTCAGTGAGTCCTGCCTTGCCTGAACAATCCAATTCATTACACATTGGTGACTTCCAGGCTGCCAAAGCGTTCCAGGCGGCACTGCTCTGGCCTACTTAGCTTCATATCCTCACAGCACTCTTCGTTTTTGAGAGATCCATAGTCGTCATGGAAATCAGTGTCTTTTCCGCTGAATCCCCTTCCAATTTTCCCCAGGGGAAGCTGCAAATGAAATCAGAGGAACGTAAGGATAATCTCCATCATCGTATGGAGATTTTTAAGAGCAGGTTAGAAAAACACGTCAGAGATGGTCTAGATCAGGGGTAGGCAACCTATGGCACGCGTGCCAAAGGTGGCACACAAACTGATTTTCAGTGGCACTCACACTGCCTGGGTCCTGGCCACCGGTCTGGGGTGGGGCTCTTCATTTTAATTTAATTTTAAATGAAGCTTCTTAAACATTTTAAATACCTTATTTACTTTACATACAACAATAGTTTAGTTATATATTATAGACTTATAGAAAGAGACCTTCTAAAAATGTTACAATGTATTCCTGGCATGCAAAACCTTAAATTAGAGTGACTAAATGAAGACTCAGCACCCCACTTCTGAAAGGTTGCCGACCCCGGTCTAGATAATACTTAGTCCTGCCAGGAGTGCAGGGGACTGGACTAGATGACCTCTCGAGGTCCCTTCCAGTCCTATGATTCTATTGTCTTGGGGAGAAAGAGACAGGATGCAGGATATTGTCATGGAGGGAAGGGGGCACCAGATCTGCTTAATCAAGAACTGCCCCAAAACTCCTTTAAAATCCACTTACAGTCAGAAGTAGGATTGTAAAGATGTCATTGCCGCAGAGTTCCATATCACAAGAGCTTCCAGATCCAAATTTGCTCAGTATACAAAGCAAAGGTTTGTTTCTCTCATTGCCAGCACTGGAAACTCAATCTGGACTCTGAGGGTATGTCTACTGAGGAGCTCAGTCTAAGGAGATATTTAATAGCAGCGTAGACTGGAGCTCGGGCTATGGGACACTGCAAATGGGGAGGGTCCCAGAGCTTGGGCTCCAGCCTGAGCCCAAATGTCTACACTGCAGTTAAACAGCCCCTGAGCTTGAACCCCATGAGCCTGAGTCACCTGGCACGGGGCAGCCCTGGGTTTTTAATTGCAGTGTAGACATACACCAGACAAGGATCTTGCCCTCAGGGGTAAGTTAGTATAGCTCCACTGGAGCCAACAGAGTGACGCTGATTTACACCAGCTGGTCTGGAGCGTCCAACCCTGTTCGTTCTGCCTCTTGCACCCATAGCGTTAATAACGATTCTGTAATCAGAATGGCACTGACACCTGTTGATTCCCGAGGCAATACCAAATCCAGCTCGCTCACCAATAGCTGGACTGGCTGTTCTAAGAGGAGACAAGCATGTTTGTTCGAGTGAAGTCAGCAGGGCTGCATTTGTATTAAGTAAGAAAAAGGTATTTTTTTTTAAAAAGTGTAGTAATAAGCAGAAAAGTGATTAAATCTGGCTCATCTTTACACCACAGATCTGGTTCCCCGAGTCTGTCTTACTGACTAAAACAGGTCCCTATTGCTTAGCGTTGCCTAGCCAATACAGCTGCAGGAGAACAAGCTGGATCTATTCTGGCTCAGGTGTCCTCAATAGAATTTTTAACGAAGTTCTGTCGGCAGATTCCTCATTGCCAGTCATATCAGCGCACAGCTTGATTGTCAGCTCCCTCGCTGAGGGGCCCGATTCTGCCACTTGGACTCGGGGTACTTCCAGTCAAACTACCCACAAAATGAGGCGTGAGTAAAGGTACCAGAATTAGGCCCTCCGTTTTCAGGGCTGACGGTTAGGAATTTATTATTATTTTGTGCTTATAAACTGGGTGGATCTAACCCCGAGTCACTGATCTATAAGAAGCAGGGAAGTTCCAGGGTGGCATTTTTACAGTTACTTTTCAGAGGAGAATCCGCCCACACTTTAAAAAATGGCTTCTCTGGTGATAGCCTCACATTATGGCTTGAAGTATGTTTGTCTAGTTTGCATCTGCTCCATACTTCCAAACAACCACCCCGCAGCTTCCATCAGGGACTCCGCGTTCTCTATCTGTTGTTCCTAAGGAGGAGGTTGTGGGGGGATGGTTTCAGAGTCTGTCCTGAAGTCCCCCATTGTTTCCCCTTTAACCCTAAAAACCCAGGGCCAGTTCCTCCACGGGTGTTAATCAGTACAGCACCATTAAAATCAATGGCGAGATTTCAGTTTGGGATCAGCTGAGATTCCAGCCCTAGTTTCAGGCTGGCCCTGCCTTCTAGCCATCTGGCGTGGCATGGCACATTGCCAGTAAATGGAGTTCATAATACTGGCCAGCAAGGCGCGCTAGAAAGCAACATAAGATACTAACCCTACAAAAGGGCTGATCCAGTGCTCCCTTGAGATCTCTGGAGAAAGCTTTGACTCCTTGGAGCCATTGAACTGGACTGCCTTAGACTGCAGGCCCAACACCTATGTGTATAAGAGTATTTCTAAATATTTCTAAGACTATTTTAGAGTGTTTCTAAGATATATATATATAGAGAGAGAGAGAGGAGAGAGAGAGTGCTAATTTTTAAATGAATGCAATTAATTATTTCATTAGCTCACACATGCCTCTTCTGAGTATCTACATCCCCAATTATCATGGAGATGAAATGACAATTCCAAGCAGAAAAATCAGTCATTTCCAGCGGGGAGAAGGGAGTCATTTGGACTTGGTGATTAAATGGCCCAGCCTATGCAAGTTATAATTGGTTTGTTATTGAGCTACTCATCACATAAATTCCAGGCTTAAAAATGCCAACTTTCCCTGGGCACAAAAAGGCTTTTCAGGGCAATTTAATTACCTTAAAGAATATGATTTATAGTCACTCATCTTGCATTATGCTGCTTAATGCCCTTACTCACGCACCTGATTGATAACTGTTATTAGCATCAGTGGGGGAAAAATGCAGAGGGGTTCACTAGGGCAATCTAGAGTTCTCCTGCCTGCCCAGTTTTTCATGGGTCTTTATATGAACCGCCATAGGCTGTACTGATAGGACCATAAAAGTGAAGAGATAGAACTTCAAAGGGAGAACAGCAGGGAAAGGGGATCTGATCCAGAATAAGCAGTAATCAAGTCATCTTTTCAAAACAGCTCAGGCCCAGATTTTTCAATCGTGTTTAGTAACCAGTTCGGGCTGGAGTGTCATATTTACCTCCCCGCCAGCCTCCACTATAAAAATGTGAACAGACTTACCCTGCTTGCTTTGCATTTTAAGCTGTTCCCCTCCTCCTTGCTCTGCCTGGTAGCGCTGGAGGAGCGCCTGAGCGAACCCTGTTTGAGGAGAGTTGACGTTCCATATCGGTCGCTCTCTAGAACACCTGTAGGGCTGAGCAATGAACAGGCACTCATCTCACAGCAGTTTTGAATGTGGGGTCAGTAAACAAAAGAGCCACGTTCCCAAACCCTTCCAGGTTGCGGGGGGGAAACCCACCAAATGGAACAAGTGGTGGCTGGATTTTTTAAAAGGACTGGTTCGTCCGATGACCAGTTATAACATGCATCCAAGACAGCCAATAATTGAGGCTCAATTGTAACATACGTGCTAGGCAAGGCCGGCTCCAGGCACCAGACGAGAAAGCACGTGCCTGGGGCGGCACACTGTAAAAGGCGGCATTCCAGCCAATCTTAGGGCGGCACGTTCCGGTCGCCCTGCCGTGGTTCTCTCTTTTTTTTTTTGCTTTGGCAGCCCGGTCCGCAGCTCCGGAGCCCCCAGCCGGCTCCCCGCATTCCGGTAGTCCCAGCCCAGCCCTGCAAGGGCACGGACCCCGGCCTGGGGGGCAGGAACTAGCGATCCCTGCTGCTCACTGTGCTGCCGGGCTCCCCGGGACGCACCACTCCCTGCCGCCTGCACCGGCCTCTGCCTCCTGCGCCGCTCTGAGCCCGGCCCGGCTGAGCCACCTTTAAAGGAGTGGCTGAGCCAGCACCTCCTGCAGCCCCCGGGGGCTCTGCCTGCCTGGCCGGGAGAGGCACCCCAAGGCCGGAAGGGAGAGCCCCTCTCGCCTGGCTGAGAGCGGGCTGCAGCGCCTGGCTGCCCACAGGCGGAGGGAGCGGGCGGGCGCCGCACTTCATCCCCGTACGAGCCGCCTTGATCGCCCTCCACGCACTCCCTGAGACCGCCGTGGTTTTTTTGCTTCAGCAGTCCGGCCGCCTGTTTGTTTGTTTTTTGCTTGGGCGGCAAAAAAGCTAGAGCTGACCCTGATGCTAGGGCAGGACTAATGTGATCTCATTCTGCACAGTGTATTGTGATGGCCGCAGGGATCAAGAAAGAATTTTCCCCCCCTTCTCTATGTGTAGAGGTGCGTATTTGGCCAAGTGTATGGCATTTTTGCCTTCCTCTCAAGCGTTAGGTACTGGTGACTGGCCAAAGTCCCATGAACCAACGTTGTCCGCCAGAGTCAGGCCCAAAACAAAACTTCAACAAACCCAGTATTTGTGAAAGGCCAGATTCAGAGCCAAACTTTCCACCTGGCCCCCCTGTGTCTATCATGAGATGAACAAAAACCTGGCTCCACGTCCCCAGAAGCTTCAGAAGAGGTCAGCTCCATTTGTGCTCTGACTTGGAACAGCAAATTCCTGCTTCCCAAAATAATGAACTTCAGGCAATGAACAGCACTCTGGGCTTTCCAGCTGGACATAGATGAAGGTGCATTTGCGAAAGTGAGATTTTACAGGGTGCAGGGAGGAAGACATAACAGGCCCCTATCCCATCTGTGTCGTGACATAGTCCAGTCCTCTCCATTGCTCAGAGTTTGTGTAACCTGCTCCTTGCTGTCATCCAGTCGCTTTCAATTTGCCTTCCCATCAATCGACACCCTGGCTTTCTACTTCCCAGCAGCCATTCCCTCCCAGTGCCACAGTCCCCGGCAGCCATGTTTTCTTCTCGCTCTGCAGTGTTAGGCGGTGGTGACACAGCGGCACACGGAAATCTTTTTGCTGCTGCTGCGCTCGCTCGAGGGACACAGGGTCGTCAGTCCCTGCACCTGCCTCACTTTTGTGCTTTCATGGACATTCCCCTTTTCTTCACAAGTGTCATTTGATCTCACAAGCCGATCTCCTGTGGCCGGCAGTGGGCTAGGCTCCATTCTCAGACACCGTGGGGCCAGGGTCGTTCAGCCTCCCCACTGTCAATGCACATGCTTTGATTTTACACAACTACTTGGGAAGCGACTCTTGTCTCACCAGCCTTTCCGTCTCCTCCTCCTCCTGCTGCCGGCCCATTATTAGCTCTACCCCACTGGCTGCTATGCTGGTCTTATTCCCTCCCTGCAGGAGGGAGAAACCATTGCTGACAACTCTGGATTCCTCTAATGGGAGAAATGGATTCAGGATGCTGCCTCCTGGCTCCCCCTCTGTGAGGTTCCCCTCAGGCACCTCATCATCTCTGATCATCTCATATCCTGCTTCACCCCTGAACAGGTATAGCCTGGAGAAAGGCAGAGTAAACTTCCTCTCACTGCCCCTCTATCCTGAGCTGAAGGGACCATCTCTGGAAATGAGGATGGGGACATTTTCCAGACACATTCCGGCCCTGACCTCTCTGCCTCTTCTACCAGTTGGGACATGGACTGAAACTCCCCAACTTATTCTATATAGGTCTCCAAAGACCCAGTAAGATGGTAGCATCTTTAAAGTTTCTCCCGCCACGTTGGATTTGAACAGCTGACCTAGCAGTGAAATCCTTCCCCTCTCATTAGCAGTGCCATGAGCCATCCTTTGGACAGCTGGTTGTGATGCCAGGAGAGTGGGCTGTGCCTTTGCCGTTCTGGCTGCGTGACAGTAACGGAGCAGTAATCAGGGCAGGCAGAAATATCGCTTTCTAGTGGATGGGTTCTGCAATGCACAATGCTGCCATCCCCAGCGCAACGCCTTCTGCTGTCAACACGTCTAATTGCTAGTACAATATTGACAGCTCAGAAGCTCCAGGGCTCCCAATTTGCCTGGGCTCTTTGTGGGGGTGTGTATGTGTGTGCAAACAAAAGCACAATATTTGCACTGTGAACCATCTGTTTCGGGCGAGCCAACTAACCAGAGCCATCTGTATAGTTGGGCCTGCAGAAGCTTGAAATCTCACTGCCTGCGCTGGAAATTTGCAGGAGAATTCCCCCTCTCAGCTCTCAACTGGATACTTTGCATAAATCCTGCTTGCATGGACAGAAGGGCCAGGCAGTGAATGAATGGCGCATATGCCATGCAGAGCCGCGGTGCATAGGCCTCTACTCTACCTTGCCCAAGGTAACAGAAGTCCAACTCAGCCTGTTATACAAAGTTGTTTGTAAAAGTCAGCAAAAAGAGGCGATTAACAGCCTGATATTAACTGGACTGTTTAGGTTGCAAGCACTGTGCTAAGGGACCTGCAAGGCTCCTGGTAAAGTCACAGGGCGGCGTGAGAATGAGCAGAAAGATTCTAGAGATGGGTGAAAAGGTTTATGTTGGAAATGAGTGGCATGTATGTCCATTTCCTTGAGCATCATTGACCCGGGGCAGGAGGGTGAGAGGGGTGTCACGACATGGATGCTGGGAAAGAGGAAAGCATGGACTGCAAGGAGTGAGCTTCACCAGAATGGCTGCCACCCTCACCATCACTTGGGGCCCCAGGATCCACCAGGACACTGTTGGACCTTCATCATATTGATCCTGAGAACTATCCTGACCAGACCAGGCCAGAGAGAGGGAACCAATGACATTACCAGCTGCCCCAGCTTCAGCTCAATTCGGAAAGATGGCTGGCATGTATGAGACTTTGGTTCCTGCTCTCATTCCCTCCTTCATGTGTAATTTTCCTTCCTCACCTTAATTCTCCTCTTCCCTGTCTCCCGTCTTTCTAAAAATTGTCTGGCTCAGCTGGCCAAGACAACTCCATCTTTGCAACACTGCTGTAAGCCTGGTGACCAGAAAGACAAGCTAAAAGCAATGCCCTAAACAGCCCGTTGCTGGAACAAGCTCGGAGTAGCTGATAAGACATTGGGCAGTGCCTGCATTGTTCCAGCAGCAAAGTTGCAAGTGAAAGTCAGCACCAGAAACGGAAGCTGTATTTTCTAGTTTAGCTGTTCTTTTCTCTCCCGGTGTGCGCGCCTGTGTGTTCTGTCTTAAAGAAAACAGGACTGGACGTCACCAGCAGCAACAATACCCGCTCCACACCACCGCAGCTAACTTCGTCTCTTTTTCACCTCCGAAAGGACAGATAATACCCTCTGACAGACTGTCACACGGGGGTTTCTTCCTACCAACAAATACTAAATACAGCTCAAATGGTTTTTTAATGGGTGGTTGTTACCATCAAAGTAAGCCATGATAATTGGACACAAACTTAGGGTGACCATATTTCCCTATGCTGAATACGGGACACCTGGTAAAATTACTCATATTCAAGCGAGTTCGATGGCGGTCAATCAGAACTACGCTGTATAAACATTCAAATTAACATCAAGCTGACTAAGCCCCTGTTAAAAAGAAATACGGAGTAGCTGGATGCTTTTTATTTACCTTCTTATTTTTAAGGCGTTAGAGTTCACATGGGGAGAGGTGACACACACACACTCCCGTACACCTCTTTCACTGGGGGGCATGGGTGTGTGACCGACCGACGTGACCCTCCCTTCCCAGTGCTCTCTGCCCTTCCTGCCTAGCTTGGCCCCCAGGATGGACCTGCCTCTCCTTGTACCTGGCGCCATGTCTTCCCGAGGCAACAGGTGGGGGGGGCACACAGGGTCACATGCCCCCCTCCCCAGATTTTGGCCAGGATTCATACCAGAATGTGGCCAGCAGAAGCCTTTCGGCACGGGGCGGGAGGGAAGGGATAGGAACTGCTTCCAGCCGCAGGGTGGGGGTGGGGGAAAGGGATGACCTGGCCCAGGTCTTTGCAGAACTCATCTTTTCCCACCTCCCCACCCCTTCCTGCCCACACAGCGTCAAAAGGCAGCTAACACCTCCAGGCTGCTGCTGGCCACCAACATAACCCAGCCGCCACCTGTCCCCCGACTACAGCGCGGGCAGGAAGGGGTTAAGCCCTAAGGACTCATTGTGCACCAGGGCCCAGGGAACCTGACTGCAGGGGCGTCAGCGAACCCAGCCAGAGCGGTGGCTCAGCAGAGGAGGGTGCCTGGGGACGGAGCGGGTGAAGAGGGTCCTAAGCCCCTGCCTGGGGGGCTGCTGCGGAGCCTGCAGGGTCGGGGCATGAACAGGCTGGAAATCACTTCCCCCTGCCACTCCAGAGCTTAGCTGAGGGGCGGGGCGGCTTCCCGTGCCAGCGCGATGCGGGGCTTTGGCATATGCAGGGCTCGGCTCCTCCTGGACAGCGCCCCAGGCTGCAGGGTCTGGGCCTTTCCT